AGTGACACATGGGATATTCCATGGTATACCACTCGAAAGCATTACATAACTATTTTATACCATCCCATAGAAAATACAGTGGCCAACACAATCAATGCGACCTTCATGCAGTGGGTCGGGCGTAACAAACTAAGGTTTACAACCCAAATATTGCTGTATTTTCTATGGCATGGTGTAAGGTTAGCTATTAAACTGACCTGCCCATGTATTCTCCAGCAAGCAAACAGCCACATTTTGTGCAAGTAAAACACCATAGATGCCACTGTTTCTCCAGTGCTAGCAAGGACTGACCACTGCGAATATCCTCTCCACAGCCAGCACACTCTAAACAGGAAAAGGGAAAATGCCAATTAACCCACATGTGTGTCTCAATTGTTAATTTGTTTTCAGGTTAGCCTGGGTTGTTTCAATTAAATTGACTGTTTTTGATGGTTGTTTTTGATGGCCAAGGGAAGTGGTCTACTATTTTTTTAATGCAGTTAAATGCAATTTAATGGAGTTAACAACAAAGGGGGCACCTACATTCCCATAGATGTCAGCTGTGTCTATTAAATGTGCATGCACAAAGATCCATGTATTCTTGGACTGAGACATGTTGACAGCCTTCACAGTGATAGCATTTATAGTGAGCGTTATTTTGCACAGGAGCACATCTTCTAGCCTGCAGTACAGGCGGATTAGCGGGCTCTAGTGATACACTAACACGCGCGAAGCACGAGAATGAGCGCAAAGCACGAGGCGAGAAAAATCCACCTGTAGTCACACCATTGTTTATGTTCTTCCAACTGTTCACCTGGCGAACGGTTTTTGTTGATTGGTTTCTTTAAGCCACATGACGTCAGACGCAAGAAAAAACAAAATGTGTTTGACTCAGGTTACAGGCCTACATGGACTCCTACAGCTCGTGACATTTCTACATTTGCCATTCTCTCATAAATTCCAGCCTCTCAACCTTTTATTTTGCTCTCCACTTGTTTTTGAAGGGCACTTAATGTTGTGTTATCAGGATGATTTTTTTAAAAGTAGAGTAGAGCCGATAGACTGTTAGAGGTCAGAGTTCTGCATAGTTTCAGCTGTTATCTATCGCTTTGTAGAGTTTGACACCTCTATAATTTGCCATGTGCCGAATAGTGTGGTTTGTCTTGCCTCATTTCTATTGCAGAAATGTATCTCTAATTATTCGCTCCAGAGGGACAAAGTCGGTGAGCATCAATGTTGACTACTTGCATTCTATATTGTGATGCCGTGCCCGGTTGTTACATTAAAACTGTGTTAAGCTATATGGCTTTTCACCACGGATCATATTTAGCTTTATCCGGCATCGCCAGAGACTGCTGTAGTCTTTGAGACCCGCTCTGTGTCATCAAAGTTATGTTTCTTCCATCCTGAATTTGTTCGAGCTTTTCATCTCCTGAGCTCGATGTTTAGGTTTATACCTCCTTTGTTCATTTTGGCACAACTTGATTTAAATTTAGCTAAATTTAGATGTTCACGTCTGTTGACTGTATTGCGTCATGTATACATTTGTAAATTGGTTATTTGAGACATTTTTTCATGCCAGTAAATTGAATTGCTTTGTTCTCTCTCATTCTTTCATGCCAATCATTTCAACGGGCGGTAGAGCATAAACACTGGTGTGACTACAGACGGATTTTTCTCGCCTCGCGCTTCGCGCTCGTTCTCGCACTTCGCGTGCGTTCATGTATCACGCTAGAGCCCGCTAATCTGTATCATGCTAGAGCCCACTAATCCACCTGTACTGTAGGCTACACATCTTCAAGCATTACCCTCCCTCTTTCCACTGTTAGTTCAGTGTGACGAGTGCCTGTCTCCTGTTCCACATAGGAGCTAATAGCCCGGTTTCCAGGATTTGCCAGCCATGGGAGCAGTCTTCATCTAGGAGCTGGCTGCCAACAGTGGAAGCTCCTGGATGTCTCAGGCACCCAACCTCCATTTTAGCGATGCAGTTGTTAACAAAAAGCATGGTTACAATTAGACGTGAGCAAAATATTATTTGCAGCAAAACACAATTAAGACAGTACTACACATGAGCAGACCATTATATTTTAGGCAGTTATTTGCAGATCACATGGTGGGTTCTCTACCAATGGAAAAGTAGAAAAAATAAATCGAATGATAAAAAGTAAAAGTGTTACAAAAAGTCATGTAGGAAGTCTGAAATTACTCTTACTCTCAAGTTTGGGTCCTCTAATATCACTGCTTGTCTCCTTTGCACTACACTGTTGACACACATATTGACTACCTTTTGACACAACCTTTTCTCCTGGAGGAAATGGATTTCTGAAACAAACAAACAAACACCAGTGTTAAATACTGAGTCAACTGCCATTATCAAGTCTTGAGTAATCAGAAATGTTTTGTTTTGGTTTGGTTGGGTGATTCTTGCAAGAATTGAGTATCAAGAATCAAGTGAAGTCTCAAGTGAGTTGGGGCTCTTATTACTCCGTCAGTCAATACTTGTGGGGCCATACTTCATAAAATGTACTCAGAACTAGATTCTCGCAGCATGTAATGTCAACTTACATTTCTCTTGTAATCGTCATGTGTAACAGCAACACGTACATGTATAATAATTGATATCTGATTATTTCCCCAGAGTAAAATGTGTGTACTAAGTAAATGTTCTTAATCTAAAGAGTCTCCAGGTTTTGTAAAATTTAACACTTATCTGGTCTTAAAACAAACTAAGGTTTACAACCCAAACCACAGTTTCACAGTCTGATGTGTTTCAGATCCAGTTTGAACAGCATTAATTGAATCTTCAGTAGCCATTAATTGTAAGAGAGTAGCGGCTGCCATCAATTGTAAGGGACATTCCATAGGATACCACAAAAGAGCATTGCATTGCTATTTCATACCATGCCATAGAAAATACATTTAAAGTGGCCAACACAACCAATGCAACACACTCATGGCGTATGATCGGGAGGTTGGACTTCATGTACATGTAGTAAACTAATCCAAAAAAAAAAACTTTGACTACTCACCCACAAGTGGTACAAACAAAGCATCTCAAATGGTAGGCATTTCCACCAATATTAATCCCTTCACCTTCCACAAACAGATGACAAACAATGCATTTCGTGCCAAAACGTTCTTGGAAATCGTCAGGACAAAAATACTGGTTGTTTTGCTCAAAGAATCCCACATTTGCTAAGTCTGTGCCACACACTGGTGAAAAGAAAAACAGGATCATTAACTTTGAATCTAGGCGCAGACCTGTACAAATCCTACATACACGAAGAAAACCAGTTGATATGGAACCTGAAAACTGTGCATGGCTGAGCTAATTGAAAAAGTACACATATCAATTCTTGACAATTTTATCTTCTTTTTCAGATCATAAAAATTTCAATGAATATTATGAGTTGATTTTTAAGGCATGATGAAATAAAAACTCATTCATGTGATTCATGTTCTGTAGTTACAAAAAACTGGTAAATGAATATGGGTGTACAATTTGCAGGGCTGTCAATAAGGATCGTAGCCCGTAACACCTGTTACAGCTGAGTATATTATGTGCCCTTGATGTTACAGGTGAATTTGCCAGTTGTTGATGCAATTCAACCATAAAGTAACACTTTTGTTATGGATGTGAAGATCAAGGATATTAGGTGGATCAAAACTTATCGACAGTCGGTGAGTCAATTATAATTCTTTTCCAGTGTCATTCAGTAGAGAACACACATTTTTTTTTTAACACAATTTATTTTTCATTTTTTCAAAACAATTATTTTTTTGCAAGCAGGATCTTATCAAAAACAGCAGTGCCACAGATCTATGCAATCAGGTAGTGGGACATGAAGAACGACAGTCCGTAGCACCTGAGGAGGTTTTGGTTTGCTTTATTTTTCAACATTTATATTGGCCATTTTGGGAGCATCTGTCAACACTGTCCAGATTATTACTGCTACATTACTACACTGAAATAGAAGGGAATTGGGATTTATACCAAATTGTAAAATGATTTAGGCAATATTAGCTTTGCATAGTTGGGAAATATTACAGACCCTTGTACATGTACATGGTAAATGTGGTAACCCCCCCTGGCCCCCCTCCACCCCAAGCTATGCCTGTAAAATTTCCTGACTTCACTATTTGGCAAGATATGCTTCTCAAACATGGGAGGTTGTTCCAGCCACCTCGTTAGATTTATAATTTGCTACTTAGCGAATATCATATAACGGAAAATCATGAAAGCCCATTACCTGTGATTAAGGACAACTCAATCAATCAACTTTGATTGAAGTGTCAATCTTCAAAGTGTGGGTTAATTTCTCACAATATTCCAGCACTGATAGGAGTAAAATATTTATTTGTTTTGTTAACAGTGCCTGATGTTATCAGGTGGTACTTTGTACTACTGTTTCATAAGCACTTTGGCTTAAATTTTCACCAATACAAACGTAAATTTTTAAAATTCCAGGAGTGTGCTTTTCAAGACAACTCAACATTATCGGGCTGAATGCAAATCTAAAACATGAAAGAGCAATCAAGCATAAACAACTGTTTTAAGCATCGATCAATTTATTGATTTACTTCATTCATTCTAAAGGAGACGTGGAACAACAGTCTTACGTTAGGTAAAGACAAAGGTAAAGACTAAAGTCACGCTGAGAGTTACTACAAATAATTACACTGCATTTAACTATGTTTAATTGCATCGGACAATATCTGAAGCGTTATTTTGTTAGTTAAAAGGGCAGAAATATAAACAACGTCTTAAAAGGGCGCATCTCATGAATAATAATTTAAGCTTAAGACAAAGCTGTCTGTGGCCACAATGAATGAAAAGTGAAAGATGAAAGGGCTTACACGTCTTTGGATATTAGGATCGCGAAAGAAAAACGCCACTGAGTTATCCAGTAATCAGATTAAAACGAATTGATAGTCTGTCGCTAAGGCGGTTCATTATTTATTCAAACATCAATTTGCGATACAAAACCATTTAAATCATTTTAGTTTAAAAGCGAGTCGACATGTCAAGACTGTTGTGGATTGGCGGGTTAACCTATCGCTGACAAACTCCAAATGTAAATTATCAAGCTTTACTGCGGCTGCATACGTTTTTGCAAAATCACATCAAGAATTTTAAAACGACGGCTAATCTCGATAAATCAACGGAAGTAACCCATTTTCACGGGCAGAATTTGTCCTTCTTTTCAGACAAAAGTATGACCTGAATTTCAAACATGTAATTTTCTGTGCCGAAAGAAAATTGATGAATGACACGCGATACGAAATGGTAGACAAAAACTGAGATTAAAATATGCATACACTTCGGATACATACCCAGGCAAACCAGGCAGTTAGCATGAAAAAGCTGATCGTTGAATCGTAGTGTTTCTCCAGTACAAACTTTCATGCATCGAGCGCACCGAACGG